GTTGCCGCCATGTGATTGGCTGATTAGAAATTAAGTGTTAACGAGCAGTTGGACAGGTGTACCTAATAAAGTGGCCGGTGAGTGTAGATATCGAGCTGAAATTTGGTGGTAGCTGAGAGTCATCCTCAACGCAAACTATCTGCACTAACAGATCACATTTTTGTTTGCATGTTTGCAGGTCAGAATGATATACTGTATTTTCCATCAAGGACTGCTAGTTTCAGTACAATTTACAATAACAGGGAGCCTCGAAGTAATTAAAATGTGATAATATGGATACTTACACGAGGTATTTATGTTGTGTCATATCTTGGTGTTTTACCCGGCAGTCGTCTTGCCAGTCAGTTGCATGTGGGCAAGTTATTGCGTCATCATCCCAAAACTGTCATCAATCGAACTTCTTTCTGCAATGATGTCACAACCCCAGCTGAGTGTATACACACACACACAAACGCACACACAGACCTAAAATAAAGTGTGAAAACAATTTGCACATAGTTTCTCTCCTCATCTCACCATCTGTCTCTCTGCCGATGCCTCATATTTGCTAAAACCAACGACGGGAGTGCAGATGGTGTCGGTGAGAATTACACTTCGGCGTCCCACCTTTCTCATTATGTCACAAATTAGCCTGCACGATGAGGTGTTTGGGGAGGCTGACTCAAAAATAAAACCTGTKTGTCTCCAGAGGAATCACTCCTGCAGCTGAGGCACTCGGACTTGTAAACTTGGGATTTCTGCAGCCTTCTGTACTTTCCTTGGTTCTATATTAAACCCACTAAAGAGGGACACAGATGCATTTCCAAAATAAATAATAATAAAAATACTAAACTAAACTAATAAAATAAATGAATGGAACAAAAAAAATTTAAGAAAAAAATAACAAATATTAGAATTGTGCTGTGTCATGTTGATACAAATTTGTCCCCCCTACAGTTCAAATTCTGAAATACGTACTACTTATGTAGTACTCATGTGTAGACATTTTTTAAAATGTGAAACTAAATATATAAAAGCACCAGCATTCTGTTGTTCAGGGTAAACTCATTTTCACGTCAGTGCCTCATGTCGGTATACAGCCATGAGTAAATTACCATAAAAATGACCATAWTGGCCACCGTAATGCAAACCCATTTAAACAAGATTATACATTATTTTGTTTTTATATAAGTTAGAGTGCACCGATTTCCGACTGTATCTTTTTACAAATTGCCAGAGGAATGTATTTCAGCTGGGGCGGGCTGTGAGCATGTGTGAATTTGTGTGACCCTAAACACCCACATAAAGTCATGGTACTAAATATACGCAGTGAAATGCACAATGGAGGTGCAGGTTGTCTTGTTTGAAAATGCACATTGAAAAATAAGCGGTATATTTTGGACAGACAATATTTACCAATGTGTAATCATGACGTAATGCTAATCTGCCCACTTTTTTTTTGTGTGTGTGTGATTTTAATTGTTGCAAAATGTTGCACACAGCTTCACARTAACACACCAGATTTACAAAACTTGGCTGGAGCTCGGCTGGAAAGAGGTGCGTTCCTAAAACTGGCTAAATCAGGATGGAGGAGATTATTGGTCTGAAGTGGAGCCAATCTAAACAAGCTTYAAACCCAACATGAGTAGAGCCTAAGAACCGAGCTGGGAGAGGGTGGGATCACCCGGGGTGGGTGGGGGGAGACTCTAAAGTTGTGCCAAGTCGAACCGAGTCACACGGAGGACTGAGTCGAGCAGGTTTTTGTCCACACTTTTAAACTTGTGATGCCTAATTTTTATGTTTTGGAGATGGGCGGAGCTTATCGTTAGAYATGTTAGAAAATCACATTTGTAACGCGGTATAAATGGAAATCTTTAGTCTTTTGTCAGTTTAATCACGTGGTTTAACGCTTTCTTTAAAGAGAAAGTAAATTAGGAAGTAAAAACAAACAGGATGTTGTGGGTAGCAGCTGTGACCATACACTCCTCTTTATTTAAACTTCTTGTAAATTAGTAATTATTTATTTCGCAATACTTTTCTGAACTTCTGTGGGGATGTATTGGTTTTTTCATATGCCTGCAAAAACATTTATTTAAGGAATCATGACTGTCAGGCAGTAATCATGTAACTGTCTGTCTGTATGAGTATTTTTGTTTGTCTGTTRGCAAAATTTCTCATGAACCACTGGAGAGATTTTAACGAAACCTGCTCAAAGTACTTTGAGCAGGTTTCGTTTACTTTACTTGACACTTTGATTCAAGATGGCCACCAGAGTCAACTGACTTTGAAAACACAAAAAATGCTATAATTTTGTCAATTTAACAGAAACTGACCTAAAATTGGGTGTGGTAGTAGCTGAGACTGATCCCCAACACATGTTCTGAACACTAACAGCTGGCACCAAGATCTTTGTTTTAAAATGTTACCAAYACTGGAGTCACGGGTCTGTCTGTTAGCAAAATATCTTATGTGGGACAGGACAGATTTTAATGAAACTTTCAGGAAGCATTCATAATATGTACCTCTAGAATTGATCAAATTGTGGAGCCAACCCAATTCAGTTTGGCTGCCAGGACTAATCTATTTCACCAACAACAAAAATGGTTGTCTCTCTATAGTGATCACATTGATCTAAAACTCAATCTATGCCTTGATTAACTCTAAAATTCACATCCAGATCAAATCCAAACATCTATTCCTTGGCACAGAACAAAGGAGGACCACCGCCAAAATATTAAGATTCTGGATGCATTTTTCTCTCCCTCTCTCCATCTCTCTCCCTGTGCACGTCAGAGTTTGCGCAAGCAGCCTCTCCGCCTCTCGGTGTAGTAGAGCTCTGCTCCGTTTCCCATTCAGCTCAGTTTACTACCATACAGAGAGGAACACGGACGGAAAATCTAAAAAAAAAAACACAAAAAGGTGTTCCTTCTCTCCTTTGKCCGTTTTGGATTAACACTGTGCTTCTCGTCATGTTGGAAGTGGAAGGTAGGAGCCCGCAGGGGTTTAATTCACCATTTTTTTCACCTTGAAACTTCAATCTTAATGTGGATTAATGCGGGYGGTTTTTCATCCTCTTCCCACGGATGTGACCTTGACAAAAAGCCAATTTATCTGACGAGAAAYGCTCGTTTATATAAAATAAGTCAGTGAAAAATGCTTAGAATTGTTGTGTAAAATCAGAAGAGAGACTGGGTGTGTGTGAGGGAGCGCGTAATGCTGATGCTGAATTCCATCAATGAAGATCCTATACATCAACAAAACATATATAAAAAAATGCATTTTCTTATCCCATCTGATTGTCTCGAATAAATCAGAAAAATGAATCACAGCAGGAAATTGGGTTTCACTTTGCTGCTGCATCAAGCTGCTCTGATGTTCTGCAGCTAAAATCCCCAAAGCTGAAAGCTTAATCCAGACTACAGCTCAGAGATGTAAGAGAAGGAAAGTATTAAAAAAAAGCCATAGAACTGGCAATGAATGCGCTTTTACTTATCTACTGCATCAAGACAGATTGACTCTTAAAATAAATCCTATGGTTTGTTTACAGGCAGCAGTCCTTAAGGCTGTGGACTAATGGAAACATGGCTCAGAGATGGAAGGAAAAGAAAAGAGAGAAGATAAAAAAATGATAAAGATTCTTGGCTCGTTTCAAAGTCTTTCACTGCGTTTTGTATCCCTGTTCTAAAGCAAACTCACAGCTGGACTCAGTTCCTGGTGATTTTTTCTCTTTGTTTGTTTTAAGACTGAAGACAAGGTTGTAATTTGCCCAAGGTAATGATGCCATTAGGCTTCTCCTGCCCGACCACACGCAGGATTCCAGTGCAGCGTTGATTAATGTGATGTTCTTGTTTAATGAGATGATGCCGCTGGGTTGTTGTGTGCTCTGTTGCAGCTGGAAAACTGTGCTGAGGTCACAAAGTGCATAGTGTTCAAAAAGAAGGACAGGAGGTGCCATGAGGTGTTTTTTCTTCTCATTTCCATCCATGCAAATTAAAGCTTTAAAGGCATTAAAGCACTAGTTCAGCTCTTTTAAAGTGAGGTTTTATGGAAAGGTTAATAATAATAAATATCTTACTCGTTGTAGATAGCTCTTTGGACAATTTCACGTTTTATGTTAGACAGAGATATTTGAACGTTTTACACTTTTTATTATAAACTTTGTAGTTTTAGGTGCAGAACACCGCTAAAAATAAAAATAAAAGTGCATTTGTTTTAGGCAAAGCTTAACATAATATGGTGTTGGAAAAGATGAAAGCTGTCCATTAAATGCCTGGTGAAAAAAGATAAAACTCACTGTCAACACAAATAGTACAGTTATAATACAAAACCAAAGTTTTACACTATATTTTTTGCACTTTGAAATAAAGTGTGATATATTTAGTTTTTTTTTCTTTTTTAGGGCAAAACAAAATAGATGAGCAAATGACTAGTCCAAGTTATTACATTTTTGAGACTGATGATTTAAGATGGCAGGAATCCACTCAGTATATATATATATATATATATACATATACATATATATACATATACATATATATACATATACAAATGTGTTACAAAAGATCTGAATTATTCCTTTAAATGTAACTGTGGTGTTTCAGTAACAGTTAGAAGAACAGGGTCTGTGCTGTAGGTGAGGTTAAATACCAGAACAATAAAAAAATAAAAATAAAAATAACCACCACCCTCCTCCTCCTGTTTTTCTCCTCTTCCTCCTCTTCCTCCTACTCCATGTAAATGATACGCTGAAGGGCGGAAGTGTGGGCTGCTTCAAATACAACTCTTCCAAAGACGAAGGACCCTTATTTTAGTTAAGTAATCCTCTTTCCGTCTTTAATGTGCTCCGTGTTTCTCTCTTTCTGTGTTCTTCCAGTGAATGGGATGCCGACCAGTCAGCTGTCCACTCCTCATTCGGGAAAATCTCCCAGCCCCTGCCCGACCAGCCCGGGCAGCCTCAGCCGACGCCAGGTAAGGCCAGAACACCCGGGGGGGATGGAACACACATTCACATGCAATCTAGCCTGTAGACTTTAGAGATGCTGCAACTAAGACACGTTCCCTTTATGTTCTCAGGAAAAACGACAAAGCTGCGACTGAGCTTAGGCCGACCACATCTTAGAGTCACTAGAGTGCGAAGGAACATCCAAAACACCTTTAGCGTCTCAGAGCAGGGTGGGGAGTCGACCTTTGACCTCACCCAGGAAGGCTCACGTTAGGATCTGTGTTAATAGTTGAGAAAACAAATCTGTTATTTGCACATCTGCTGATCTTGTTTTGCTCTTTGTTCCCTGTAAAAACTTTTGCAATCTTTAGCTCTGCAGTGAACCATGCTAACACTCGCTTTAAGAGATCTGATCAATGAGTCAGCAGTTTGTGCAAACCCCATTTAAAAATGCGACCGATCGATGTCGTGTCATTTTGTAATTTTGCACTTGTGCAAACAAGCTCTGTGGGCACAGCTGTTACCGGAGCTGCAGTGACGATATTGTTACCTGCAGAGCGAGAGCATGCAACTCAAATGGAAAATCTTCAATCTTACATTTCGCATACCGGCACCTAGACCTGCTGAATCTATTAGCAGAATTCATCCAGTTCTCAGCAGTGACAATGTGACCTCTCAGCTTCAGCTTCAGTCCCAATCAGAAGTTCCTACAAAATAAAGAGCTTCTGTGAGAAAATAAAAGCCTGCCATTGATTAAGTTTCCCTGCCTTCTTCATAACTTCCAAGTTCCCAACTATAATCACATACAGACACTGGAGTATAATTTAAGCTTTTATTAGCATCTGTTTGAATGTGTTTCGCTTTTCCAAAAGCAGGATTTTATGATTAGTAATGATTTGCTTTGCAATCAGAATCAGGTTTATTGGCCAAATATGTTGACACACAAGGAATTTGCAGTTTAGAACATCCGTCCGGAGAGACACATACACATGACAAACATGAGGGAACGAATGTCCAGGGTCCTTCTCAACTTGGTGCGCTACCTTTGCAGTTTAGAATACACACACAATAGAAGAGGTGAGCTTAAAAAAGAGCTTTGATCCTGTGTTTTATACAGAAAAACACACAAGCATACGCTCAAAAAAACTACTCTGAGACAGTGCAGTTAGCTAAGGAGGGGAGGGGGGGCAATGGTGATTGAAGTTCCTGCGAGCTGGCAGGAAGACAGAAGTGGGCTCAGGAACTTGAGCATGTCAGCAACATATTACGTCTGCAACATGCTGCTGGAGTTAGCGTTCCATGACTATGTGTGCATTTATTTCTAAATTAATTTAACCTTGATGAGCTGTTACTGGAAGCTGAGTCCTCTGTATAGATGAGTTGTGAAGGTTGGCCCAAGCAGAAGGAACAGATCAGACCTGAAGCGTCCACGTTCATCTGGAACTGGGTCGCCGTGGCTTTCCGAGCTGAGAGGAAACAGGTTGTCACGTGCACGCATTTATGAACTCAGCTTTCCGAATGAATAAACGAGGCACCGTTACTTAATATAGACAATTCTGGAGTGCTCTGTTCTTTCCAACCAAGATGATATTCCACCATTTTTAGTGAAACTTCTGTGAGAAACACGTGTGTTTTATTTTGAGTTGACATAAGAAGGGCAGCAATGACTTAATCAGCTGCCATGCCTCGAATATCTTTCCATACAGCCTGTAGTTGTGTGTTTGTGGTTTCTGGAAACTGTCAGTTTATTACTCAGGAGACTGGGTTGGTTAGAGAAGTGATGGTGGGCTAACTATGTCTAATGAGAGAAATGAAAAAAAAAATGCAATTTGTGGTCCAGTCAAATTCTTCTGCCCTTCACAGACAGGCTATATTTTTGAGATTATTCTTATTTTCGCACTTACCGACCCCTCTTTAAGACGTCTATAGCTRGAATGAGAAGCCTCTCAGCCCCATTATCGTTCTCCTCTCTACTTTGCTGCTTCACACTCCTGAGAAGTATTATGACATACTTCTCACCTCCACTTCTTGCTTTTATTTATCATCTATCTGTCCTGGCAGCCATTATTTCCCTTATAGAAGAACTTTAGGTTCATTTTGGAAAACTTGCCATCAATTATATGGCTGTCCTCTCTCCTTCTTTGTCTTCTCTGTCCTAATTATGCAAGAATAATTATAGTTTCAGGGTTTAAACACACACAACAACCCTTCTTGTTAGGCAAGTTTTTTTTYTCCATCTACAGGACATAAGGATTAGCATAATGCCCGCTACCTAAAACACCAAAGTTTTAAATAAAGACCATGCATGATATATTTGTTCTCATGTATTATTAGTTTGTTTTGTGGACGACATTCAGATATTACCACACCAAATCTTAGCTCAATATCTTTTAAAATGGCAGAGTTATGATGATTTTTGTGTGCACTAATGTTGGTTAGTTGAGCTTTTTTTTGAGTTATATTGACTTCAGAATGTATTTAGATGTAAATGTATATTYGGTGGTTGCTTTTTGACAGTTTTATTCAAATCCATCTACTCGTTTATGAGCTTTTTTTGCTTACAGACACAGACATAGGAACAGACAACTCCATGGTTGCAGAAATTCAGCTTAACTTTAACACTGGGGAGTCATATGATACTCAAACCAATCAAAGTCTTTGTAAAACAGCCAAATCTTCCAAATTTAAGGGGACATATGCAAAATCCTCTTCAATGGTGTGAAGCGCCTTGTTTGGATTTAAAGCAACAAGTTGATCTGAGACACTCCTCAGAAAACTGGTGAAAGTGGGGCTTGTGGAGTTACAATAAGGTGGAATTCAGACCACAGCTTTGCAGTTCCACTTTATATAGACCCCAACTGAATGATTTAAATGTGAAAACGAAGGGTTTCTTCTTTAAGTTAAACTTGTAGGTTGAAGGTTATATAAAGTAAAAATGAAAAATAAAACTATTTCACGAGCAGTCATGTAATCTCAGTGACCTACTGTGASTGCTGCATTTAAAGCGTTCTCTTCGCTGAGCGCTGTATTTAAATTAGAGGCTGCCTAAAATAGGTTGCTCACATTGCTTAGACCATTCCAACCCATTTCCTGAGGCAAAATAAACAGACATGATGACTCTTTACTTTACCTGTTCAGCATGCAGGGCTGCAGCTGCACAAGCCGAGCGCACACATTTTAAACAAATCGCACAAAGAATCCCTTACATTTCTAACACAGGCTTAAAAAATGCTTCTGTGCATATTTTGAGCTTTGTGCACGGGTGGCAGACAGGAGGTTGAAGCACAGGCTGTCAGATTTACACATTCTGTGCACACTGTGACCCATTTTCTATGAAACTGGCTCCAAACAGTACTTTGCATTTACAAAGTCAACCCCCCACCCCACTCCCAATCCTCTCCGTTTGCACTCCTTATAGTCCTCCAAAAGCTGCTCGCCACACAAGGAGCTAGCGTTCATATTTCTTTTTAAACCGATCGACACAATTGGCTGCAAAATCCTTCTCTTTGACTGGTAATCTGAATCAGAGATGAATGAAATGAGCCGGCGGAGGTCACGTCTCTGTGAGAAAATGTGAGCAGAAAAAAAATCCGTCTGACAATAACAGATGGTTTGTGTTTGAGAAGCTGTGATACGGTCAGGTTGATACAGCATTTATGTTGTTCCTTGTCTCGTAATTTACAGCTGACCCCCCTCCGTTCACGCTTTAGTCACATCCAATATCCATTGAATTGCATGCTCCATCTTTCATTCTTATCGCTCGATTTTTCTCCGTTAGGTTGTTCATTAATTATTCATTTGTGCATGTGTGTGTGTGAGAGAGAGAGAGTATGTGAGCAGAAGAAGAAATGATGTATTACTGTAAAAGTGGCTCTTTCGATCATGTGAATGTTCTTTTGTTTGTTTTCATCTGTATATTACTCATTTCCTGTTGTGTTGATGTCAGTAGACAGTTTGTCCGAATATGTTTCTTTGACTGCCAAAAAGACTGGCTGCACCTCATTAGGAAACAGCAGAAGCTGYGATTTCTGTTACGTCCAAACAATAAGAAACTTATTGGTTGAAATTATGAGCAAAGAACAAATGTACATGTTTTTATCTTTACCAAATCTAAAGTTCACTCTTTGTGCATAGAAATATTAAGATACTGAATTTTAGGTGTTCATTATTTACATAATGTGGTCATGGGAGGCTGCCAGCTCATTTTGGTTTCATTTGATTATGTTTGTKTTTTCTTTGCTGAATGTATTCATTTCCATTTGTTGGAGTCATTAAATTCATTCTTTCATTTTCATTTTGTCTTTTATCTTTTCATTCCTTTCATGTATTTGTTTCATTATGATTAAAGTAAGAGCTCAGACCTTTTGAAGTGGAGCAAAGAGGATATTAACAAACATTATCTTACCTGCTGCAGATAGCTCTTTGAACATTCCAAGTTGAGAGAAATAGAGTTTAATTTAGACCAGATTAACAGGATAAACAAGTGAGACACCAAAATGAATCAAGCAGGGGTCTCTTCAGTGCATTGGGGGAGTTTTTTGTCTGTGTGGGAGGAGTTTCTACTAAACATGATTGGCAGGGTTTGGAATATAGGCTAAGATTCTTGGGTGGGTGGAGTTTGGCAAAACCATGATTGGTCAGGCTGACTTGTTTTGTGGGACAAGTTAAAAGAGGAAGTAATGGCAACTTGTAAAATTATTGTTAACATGTAAATATAATCTATTGTCTATTTATAGTTTAAAACAGATTAATATCTCATAAAAATATTGTGAACATTATGAATATTGTGAGTTATAACTAATAATAATACATGTATTCATGTTTAAAAATCTCCAACTTTTTCTAGCTGGGTTGGGGCCATTTTGAGGTAAAGCAAAAGTATTGCGAGGGAATGCAAAGATGTTGCGAGGTAACGCAAAAGTATTGCAAGGGAATGCAAAGATATTGCGAGGTAACACAAAGATATTGCGAGGTAACGCAAAAGTATTGCGGGGGAACGTAAAAGGAAAAAAATCCCCCCATGTCCCCTCGCGGGCTCCGTACATGTGAATGCCTGTGTAATGAAAAAAAATGTACAAGAAATCTCCCAGGCTTCACCTTCGAACCTTCATTATATTCTGTTGGCATACCAGGAAGTAATCTCCAATGAGTGGAGCAGAGAATGTTTGCTGTCTGTCTAAAAAAACTAAATAAGAGTCTGGAAATATTATCTCCTATATTTTCTTTGTTTAAAAACTTCAGGAAGTCCAAATGAGACCGAACAAATTTCTCTGTGTTTAATAAACCATATTAGATTTTGCCCACTGAAATGATGAAAGTGACATGGAAACAAATAGGAAAAGAGCTTTTCAGCTTTAGGGACAGAAAGTTAAAAAAAAACGGCTTCAGGATGTGTTTGATARTCAGATTCAGATGGCAGCATGAAGGACACAGCTAGAACCATCTTTAACTCTGTTATGTAAATGTGTGCTGCATTTTTARTCTCCACTTCTACAGCTGGCAGACTTTTCTTTCCCCACTACAGAATAGATCGTTATCTGTGCTGCAGTCCATCTGCTTCGGAGGTTTTCCTTTTTGCTTTTCAAGTAAGGTCAGCCGTGGACGTCCTCTTTAATTCCTGCTTCCACACTGATCAGTATTCAGCTGCTGAGTGTTCCCACTGCAGGTTTGAAGAGCACTACCTCCAGCCAGGCTGGGTGGGGGGTTTTTGTGTTATTTTTATGGGGATATAATGCAGTTAAAGCAAGAGGAATAACATGTCATGTTGTGCAACGTGGAGAAAGATGAACACAACAAACACCTTCTTTTCTGTTTCCACCCTGTCCGTCCAACTGTCCATCACTGCCTCACGGTCGTTCACACAGAAAAAACATGGAAGGTTGGGCTCACCCGCCAGCCTGCAGACAGGAAATAACCATATATAGGCTTCTGTCTCCTCACTGGAAGTTTCATAAGCTGCTGTTCTCCTCTCTGTGAGCAGTTTCCATAGCAACAGTATTTTGTTTCCCTCTGTGGCAGGAAGAGCGAAATCAAAATGAGACGGCGAGGAGAGGACAGGGTCGCGTGTTCGATTAGGGCACGGCAGAGAATCAAAAAGAGCAGAATGAGCAGGGGGTTTAGGGGTAAGACCCAGGAGAGCCGGCGGGGCGTTAAGTGGGTTTTCTTGTTCCGGGACAAGTGCCCGACCAAACACAGCGTTACATAAACCAGACGTAGTCTGACTCACAGCTACACTCAGATAGGTGCTTTTCAGGTCACAGCAGCAGCAGAGATGAGTAAATCCACTGACAGCTACTCAGGCCAGGAAATAGGATGGATCAGTTCTGTAAATAGTTTATTTTTAAAGTCATTTCAATTTTTGTCCTCTCTGTTAGGACAACAAGCTCTCCAAGGGTGTTTGTATGAAAAAAACAGTGTTTTTACATTGTGGAGATGCTAACAGAGTCTGCAGACATTTGTTCAGTGCTGTTTTCAGTGTGCCGTTAAGGCTGCCAATGTATAAGCATTCAAACACCCTTATTACTATTCTGTTGGTTTAATCTTCTTATTTCTCCATTTCTGTCATGATTTCTGTCTCGCTGCTCCCGCAGCTTTGAAAACAGAAAATCACATCAAAATAAGTGACCTGTCTGTGCTATATCATTTACTAGCAGTACATGGTTGGAAATAAAATAAAAATATGAAAAAAAAAACATAAGCACCAATATGATTTAGGCCTTATTTGGAGCTCAGTAACTCATTCAGAATTTAAGGTTGAGCTTCATGTGATATCTTTTGTGGTTTTTACTCATGGTTTTTGCACTTATCACATAACCCTCAACATCAGATTTAAACATAGAGTGATGTAATCTTTGAGCTTTGTTCACAAGTGTTTGTCATCAAACCTGTATTTTCAGTCTCTTTACTTCCTTATGTAATTTCTACACCAGAACTTCATCCTTTTTGTCTTCTTTCCTCCAGTGCATGTTGCAAGATTTACAAGTTTCTATCAAATCCCCTCAGAGTACAGAGTGCACACATATCCTCCTATTATAAATGAGCTTTATTTATTCTCTTCAAAGCTGGAACTGAAGAGYCTTKTAACTTATACATTACATAAAAAWTCACMTGTAACCGTTATGGCMCTTACAGTTTAAGAKTATTTTATCTTTTCCTGATTTCTAGTTTATTGAGGCTTACTTTTTAAACCGTGTTTCTGCATGCCCCTCTTTGGAGTGGTCTCAGGTTGTGAGAGACATATAGGTGTTGATGCTAAAGATAAACTCAGCATTTCTTTTGAGTTTARAGTTTGCACATCAAAAACAATAAGTCTCAAACTACTTTTTGGCTTTATAGAAGAAAGTAGATAATTAATTATTTTAGGCATTGCCACTGTTTTGTACCTTTTACCCTGATATGACGATCATTTCTTAGTATTTTGATGCCAAAATTCACCTTGCTTCACACCTCCCACTGTTAAAACGCTGGCTGGATTATTATCTTAACAATGGCCACTGTCCATTTATTCAACAAACACTCTGAGTCTCTCCTCCAAAGAGATGAGTGATGGATTTGTGCATGTTGTGAATTCTAAAAGTGCCTGAAATGATATGAAAAACAGCAGAAAAATAAAGAAATCAATCAGCTAATGTGCTTCACTCGTGATTAACGATCACCTCCTCGAGTTCATCGAGTCGCTCGGGTTTAAACGGAAGCAGGGATTCACACAAAACTRTCAACAATTTATTCTGATCACGGAACGGAGATGACGTTAATCTACGTCACTGGCCGAGCRTTTTCTGTTCCTCTAGAAACATCGAAACCAAAATTTAAAAAATAATAAAAAATAAATCTGAACTGAGCGTAAAACAATAATAAAAAAGACGATCAGATAAGGCAGCCAGATAATAAGGAGCAGCAAAGAGAAGAAACATCAGAGGAAGAGGAGGAAAGTAAGATTCTCATTTATAGTCCTGCCTGGATCCTCGCTCCCCATCCCTGCTGCTTCCATGACAACCAGACAGAAGGTTATAAGGTGGAGGGCGTAATGAGGTTTTGTCTTAGATAAATGCGAACGCCTCGCCTTGGCTGCTCTTTTTTATGTCTAAGCTGTGGAATCTGCCTTTATTTGTGGCTCCAAAATATGTGTTGCTATTAAAAGCAGTCATGGGGGGGCTTCAGTTGGAATACTCACCTGGGGTTTTGTGTTGGACAAAATATCAGACATACCCAAACAGTGAAATCGACTTTTCGATGTTGTGAAGCCTTGCAATTTGAGTTTTAAATCTTTACACATAGAATGGGTTAAAGAGTTCTGCTCACCCACCTCCCTTTGTTTTTTTTTCAGGGGTCGCAGGGTTCTTCCAGCTCTCTGTCTTCCGCTCAAATTTCCAGCCCTGTGGAAGAAGGCAGTGATGGAGTTGTTCCTGAAGGTGAGGAGCACTGATG